GATGCGAATCTGCCCAACAAAGGATGCTAGTGCATGCACATGCTTGCGGTAGAGGAGTTGTCAGCCAAGGAGCGTTCATCGGTGTGATTAGAATGTTAGCGGTCGGGGGTTGACGACACTACGACATGCACGCTGCCCGCAAGGACCACGACTGCCATCGCCAACGTGATCCATGGGAGGTTGGTTGCCAAGAACAGGTCGGCGCCAATGACTTCGTCGGAGACGGTCTTTCTCGACCCGCCAGGAGGGTGTTCCTGAAAGATCTCTCGTTCCGCTTCGTCTCGTTCGCGTTCTTCGGCTTGAATGCGATCCGATGCGTCGTGTTGGCCCCAGATGCCAAACCCGTGCTGGAACACCGAGTCCGTCGACCCCTGACTTAGCAACGCGATCGTCATGAGGATGGACACAGACAAGATGCTCGCCGTCACTAAATGCCCCGTGTCTTCCTGGGCAATGAACGTCACGGCGGCGTCCTTCACGCGCTTCAGCACCTCATCCATCGTACCTTTTCTTTCCACCCAAGTTCGTTAGATATCCGGATAAGGAACAAAGCTCATCCGTACAAAACGCATGAGTAGGAGGTACTCATGCGTGAAGGGGACGGCATTTCCGAGAAACGTACGGCTGTAGTGGCCAACGTCGCCATGGCGAGCGGAGGAGCTTAATCCGTGCTATGTGCGCCGTGGGATAGAGCGTGTTGAAGCACAAGCCTTTCGTGCCGCCAAGGTGTGGGTGTGACAACCAGCAAGCGTCGTGCGAGCTGTTGCATGACACACTCCCGCACTCAAGGACTTGTAATCCAGAGGGGACAAACTGGCTGCGGTCAAACAGAGATCCATGAAGGTGAAAATTTTGGGCCGTCAGGAACAGAGTGAAGCGGGAGGGACACTCGGTGCTTTCTGGAACGACTCGGTCGAGCACTGTTCGACGCAACCATGAGCTCTGTGGAAGATGCTACATAGATGATTCGTTTATTGTTGCAATAGGTCCTGTTTCCACGCTTGCAGCACCTTTCGCAAGGCAGATTCTTGTTGCTTGATGATGGCGACGGTGGATTTGTCCTGTGTCGACGATGTGTTGGATGAAACGTGGATCTCATAGTCTTCGCCATTGGTATCCTCAAAGTCATGCAAGTTGATCTTTCCCGACGACGTCTCCGAGTTGCCTTCATGGACGCCTTCGTATTCGAATTCGAGAGCAATGTCGTACCCACATCGCTTCTTTCCTCGGCTAAACACGAGCTGCAACGCATGAGAATTCAGTTTCAGATCGGCCAACGATACGTACCTTGGCATCTCCGTCGCACTTGACGATTGCCGTCGCTCGGATTGTCCAACCTGACTTGGCATCGACAATTTGAAATTCCTCCAAGATGTGACGCCTCAACGAGTCCTGGGCCCACTGAGATTTGTTGATTTCTTCCCTAAGCAGCAAGCATGCGTCTTCATCAAGCCCATTCCCACCATCACACCATCATGTGAAGGATTACCATGTGCCCCCTTGGTTCCAAGCCGAGCCAGATCCAGCAGGTGCAGGAGTCGCGAGATTTCCTGCCGCTGCAATAATGGGCTGTGGGGTAAAGTCCTGTGCAAGCACATCATGTGAATCAACAAGTAACGCCACCGTGGTCTCCATCTACCTGCTCCATCTTGGGCACGGACTTGAACCATCCATGGTATCCGTCGTGCTTGGCTTCACCCTCGTCGTCCGACATGGTACTTTCGAAAATGCGCCCGCCAGCTAAAAAGTTGTCGAAGTTTCGAGAACACTATCCGGACATT